TCAACTATCAAAATTAGAAGACAATAAAACTAACTAACCCGAAAGCACTGGAAAAATGCTAGCGAGCAACATTGTAAACTCGAAGACCAAACAAGTGATCGTCGGTGCAACTTGTTGATCGTCGGTGAATAAATACCCGATTTTATCTCCGAAGACCAAACAAGTGATCGAAAAGAATATCCCTATTGAAAATGAGGTGCTTATAAGCACTTTGATCGAGAACTTCACGGCCTTGGCATCTCCTCTACCCAGCACATTCGTGACCCGAACACTGTTTTTTTATTTTTTTTTATTTTTATTTTTTATTTTCGGACAAATGATATTAAGGCAGGCAAAAAGAAAAAAAATAAAGAAAAAAGCGAAAACAAAAAGATTAATCTTGATCGTGTGTTCGTAAGGAAGGTATCGCGGTTTTTCTCCCGAGAGCTCACCAAATCGAGAAGGCGGATATTGCAGTTCAGCATTTTCGAGATATCCAGCAAGCAGCACCAAAATTGCATAGTACCACAATTCCAGGCTATTAAAAAGACAGTAAGATTATATATGTTAACGACAAAAAATCACATAAATTTTGAATCCTCACAAAGAAATGAAGAAGCCAAAAATGTGGAAATTCTGCCACAGTGTTGTAACTACTAAAATTAACTGAAAACTCCAGTCATTAAAAAAAATAACCTTAGAGCATGTTTAATAAATATCGTTTAATAAATATCGTTTTGAGAAGTTGTACAATAAAATTAACTGAAAACTCCAGTCACTAAAATTGCGAGGAATTTCAACTTTTTTGGTTCAACTTTTTTTTAGAGTTTAAATATAGTACAGTACGTCTTACAACTTCTATTAATTAATTAGAGCATGTTTAATAAATATCGTTTTGAGAAGTTGTACAATAATTAAGAATATTTTTTTGGCCAATAATAACCTTGAGGATATAGATGAATGTTTTGAAGAAATATGAAGAGTGAATATGAAAAGATATAGTGTATTAATTAGCTAGATAAGGTAATAATGAAAAAATATGTACAAAGGATCCAAAACGTAATTTATTTAATTAGATTTATAAAAAAAAAAAAAATAGTATCATTTTATTTCGTTGTACGAAAGGCAATTGAAGAGCAATTAGAACTTCAAGTTTATACTGGAGTTGCGCGAACTCACCGCTGTCGATTAAGGCCATTTTCCAACTAATTCCTTTCCAATGCTTAAGTTTTTTTTGATCGTTTTCACTCTATACAAACTCTAATCTATCTACTGGAAAATTCTACACATATATAATAAATGTACATAAAAGTGTACATAACACTCATGTAAAGTGGGGTCTATTTAATTTTTTATTTTTGGTAAGTCCCACCCAATGTGAGTGTCATGTACAATATTATGTACATATAGCATTTCCTCTATCTACTACTCCCTCCATTTTGAAATACTAGTAAAGTGCACGTGCGATGCACGTGGCGACGAATGTTTTTTACCGATTAAATTTAGTAAGATAAATTAATTAATTTATTACACATAGGGGTGAGCATGAGTCGGTACGGTTCGGAGATTGATAAATCTCCAGAACCGTACCGAAGTTCGGAGATCACTAAAATTTGATCTCCAGAACCGTACCAAAAAATCGGTTCGGTCCGATTCGGATATTTTTATTTTTTGGTTTGGTTCGGTTCGGTATTCGGGACTATCGGAACGGTTCAGTTCGGTTTGGTTCGCTTTGGATATTCGAAAATTTCTTATCATTTTTAAATTTTTTTTAAATGACCATCTAGTTATATTTTATTTTTTATATGTTTTATTTTAAAAAAAAATTCCAACATTCATCAATACTTCATCATACTAAATATTTTATTTTTAAATTAACTTTAGAAGTAACCCTAAAATTTAGTTAAGACTAAATTCAACTAAGATTGAATATTTAAAATTCAAACAAAATATAATACAGTTTATATTAAAGTAATATTTAATTAACCTTCCATACCATGTTAGTTATATGATAAACTAAGCTAAGTATCGACAACTTTAAGTAAAGCTTAAATATTTTTTTTTAAATCTTTAACCTATTATTCCATTTTATTTTTTAAACAGGAGAAATTCAATTGTAGATCAAGTATTAGTATTACTAAACATAAAATGTAAGTGAATCTTAATTGTTATTACTATATTTTATTTGCATTTTAAATATTCTCAAATTATATAGGATCAAAGTTGACATAAAATATATTAATAACATGCATCTATTTTTATAATTCGGTTCTTCGGTTCGGTACGGACGGGACGATTCGGTTCGGTTCTCGGTACGGATATTTATGAAATATCCAGAACCGTACTAATTACTTTTTCGGTTCGGTTCGGTTCGGAGAAAGTCAAACGATCAACGGATATTTTTCGTTTCGGAGTGATTTCGGTTCGGTTTTCGGAACGGTTCGGAATCCTCCGAGTCCCATGCTCAGTCCTAAATTTACACATATGATTGCAGGAACAAAATAAAATGTAGAATAAATAAACTTTTCATTCATTTTATTTTAAATTAAAAAAATTTTGTCGTAATATAAAAAGATTTAAATATCATATTACAACTCCAACAAAAATATATGAAAAATGAGTTCCTAATGAAAAAACAATAAATGACTAAATAAAGACATAATGTATATTATAGATGCATGAGTTCTTTTATTTATTTATGTTAGATTCAATAGTCATTTTCTTTTATTTTGGTTTTGATTTTCTCATAAGATACATTCATACTCGTTGAATTATAATACATCAATAGTATTACAAAACTCTTCTTAATTAATTTGGCAAAACGTCTGTTTTATTCCACACTTAGAAATACTTTAGCCAAACATATAGTTAAACTTTATGGTTGTATGATCATTATAAGGTATTTCAACTAATAGTTCATAAGTATCTCTATGAAATAAACAATTGCAGCATTAAATTTCTTGATATTTGTGTCATTAAAATTCTTGATATTTCTTTTATACACTGTATAAAGTACTACATTTCTCTCTCTCTCTCTCTCTCTCTCTCTCTCTCTCTCCACATAGACAAATTGGTACTTACCTCATGAGGTAAGAACGAATTTCATCTCTAAATAAAATTTGATTTTCCAAAATCATGTACTTCTCTGAATATGCTAAATTATTTTATCATCACACATTACATGAAAGTATGTACTCTAAAAAAATTGTGCGTATGATCGAGCACAATACACAGTTATGATTGTAAATATTCTTATAAAAAAGTGACAACTTATTCAACATTCAAAAATATTTTGATCAGAATCAAACATTCCCTTTTCAGTGTTATTAATTTGGAAGATAGATATCTTGCATATTCTTTCGTATTTGCAATATTTATATGTCTAATAACATTTATTGCATTTATTGTCCAATCTTTTGTATCATAACTAATGCTTAAAAAAATTCAAGATAAAGATCTTTCATTGATTCTACAATAATAACAAAACAAAATAAAACAAAACAATGAGACAATATTGAGAAGTATTTGTCAAAATATTTCAGATGAGAATAATTTGAATTATACTATATTGTGATACTCTTAGTCATCTGTTAACTTTATTATTATGAAGTCATTATAAAAGTTTGTGGTCTTTCTTATGATAATATCGAATCATTATTTATGAGAACAAATTTCTTATAGAGAACATATACTTAAATGCTAGCAACAAAAAAAGTATTAATTTTAAAAGATTTTTGTTTCTTGATATTAAAATTCATACTTTTCTAAAAATATTCAGAATTTTTCTTTTCCTCATTGCATTACTATTGGTTTACTTGTTTTGTTTATTTTATTCACAAATAATATTTTATTTGTTGAAAGAATTATAGAATATTTATATGCAATGCGTTCTTTTTACGTGTTTGGTAGTAATAATATACTTGGTAAAATTGTAGTTTTATATTATTTATAATATTAAAAAGGTTTGAATTTATTTCCATGTTTTGATAAAATATTAAGTAACTAATTCATGTTTATATTAAAAAAAAATACATTTTACAACCATTATGGTGTTCCCTTTCAAGCAATAATTGAATAATAGTTTAACATACAACCGATTTATTTTTTTCTCTTAATTCACATATTTAATATTGGTAATAGTTGTACAATTACATCTAGTTGACTTTTTTCTTAGTATGAATATTTTAAATCTATGTCAGAAAAATATACCACAAGTTCATCTAATGTTATTTTATAATTAATAAAACTAATTTAACATGGATCTAT